CCCCACCCACCCAGATGGCATTCAGTTACTATTTGTAATAGTGACAGGTGTGAGGTGCTTCTCCAGAGCACCCACTCTGTTCCTTGGCCTTCTGGTAGGACTGCCAGAGTGCCTTACTTTTCATCCTGAATTGCTTCAGGGTCCTGGTATGACCTTTGGCCATGAGACTGATAGCTTTCCTGCCATAGATGTCTGCATTCTTCTTTGTGCAGAATTCATGGAGGATGGACTCCTCCCCCCTTCCCATACACTTTGATGAGGTCCAGGATCTCTCATGCGCTCCAGGCTGGAGCTCTTCTGCAGCCCTGAGCAGTGAAGGCCATGGGAGCAGAAGTGCTCACAGCCACCTGAGCGTGCAAGAGGGAACTCGGGGAACTCATGTCGTGTTGTCCTGGTTGCTCACGCAGGGCTTGAAAAACTCGCTACATGGTACAGGCCTTTCTCCAGTTCCCAGAACTTTTAGAGCTCTGTGGGAGGAGGAGAGTAGTGGAGAATCATGGTGTGGCCAGAGGGGTCATTGTGGACAGCTGAGGGAGGCCTCCTGGAGGCCAGTGGAGTTGGATTTCTGGCACCACAGCATCTACACTACCGTCATTTCAGCCATGCACAGTCAAAAATAGCATTACTCCTCATGAAAAGCAGGACTACAGGATTCTAATTCTGTGGCCTCTTAGGGCAGAACAACAGGCTTAGTAGTGTGGATTCATTGCTTAGCTAAGCGATTGTGGGCAACTAAATTCAAGCTAAAGTCCTAGTGTACACCAGGCCTTGGTGGTAACTGCATTAGTCTATATCTTCAAAAACAATGAAGAGTCCTATGGCACCTTAGGGCTTATCTACACTACTGTCATGGTCATGAGGGATGGCCAGCAGCCTGGGGACTAAGGGGTTAACTGTATGGAGCCAGGTAGCAGTCAGCCAATACAAATGCAGGTAGGAATTTCAAACTGGGACAAAGGACTTTTTGGTGTTTCCCTCCTTTGTCCTTGGGCAGTTGACTCTCCAGATATTGAAGGGAACAAACAACATGTCCCTCTCCAAGAAAAGACCATTCACCATCTGTAAGTAGGGCAAAGTCTAGATAAATCCATTCGGGTTTATTGTTTTATGGTTTGAGAATGGGAATCTGATGTCTGTGCATTTAGAAATGGGTTTTCCTCTCCTTTGTAACTAAGTTTTGGCCCATGGGAGTCCCCCATGAGTATATTAATTGGTGACTTTTCCATCTAGTCATTATGCTTGCAACAGGAGTATTGTTTTGAGAGATAAAGTTCTTTCTTTTTTATTACTGGACCTGGTATTGGTTCATTTCTGTGTCCTGGAACATCCATCTGTGGGATCTGCATGCCTCTAGTTAGGGGACAGCAATCACAGACTGCAACTTATATTTTCTCTTTTCCTTTCAAGCTCTTTTGAGAAAGGAGGTTGGGGTTCCCCTGGGCTTGGTTTTAAGTGTCCACCCCTGTTTGTGGGTTCAAAAGCACTTGATGGTGGCAGCAGATTCCTCAAAATCCAGGTATTAGGATTTTGGGGGGAAGTGTTATACTGAAGCCTGCGGAGATCAGGTTTTAGGGTTGCTTTTGTGGGCCCCCACTTCTGCATTCTTTCTGCCAGAGTGGGGAATCAGCCTTGACAACTACAGAAAAGATCGACCCTTCCAAGGGACCCTCTAGTGTAGACCCCCAAATCAAATGCTGAGGACAACATTGTGTACCCCTTATTCTGTGAAACAGAGGGGAGCCTGTACTCTTGTCAGCCTCCCGCAGTGCAGACGTTGCAACAGCTCAGCTTAAGCTAAGCAGTATCCAGTATGCATTTTGTATAGCTCGATAGTGTACCTTAAGCTGACATGCCTGGTCTAATGTAAACCAAGCCTTAGAGACTGACAAATATATTAGGGCATAAGCTTGTTATTTTTGCAGAACTGTTAGGTTATTAGAACAGCTTTTTACTTTCCTTTTTTTTGTTGTAAATCAACATAACTTTCTTTTACTTCATTTGGATTTTACTGTAGGTCTCACACTACATTTCTGCCACACCCAAAACACCCAGTGATGTTCCAGAACTTTTGTGAGCCAAAGAATGGTGAGATTTGGCCTTGTGATTAGTTTCTGGGCATTAGAAATCCTTACTATCTTTTTAGATATGTGTAATCTGCAATCACTGTCTGCAATTGGAGTTCATGCCAACATACCCAAACTATTTTTAAACTAGCTGACTTGAGTCCCACAGCAAGAAAGCAGCAGCAGCATGGACACCAATGCAGGCTGTACAAGTCCAGCTAGAGCCCTGGGTAATTACCTGTGGGGTTATTGTGTGCTGAAGTTCACACTGCTGCTGCATTATCACTGCTCCAGGTCCTGAGCAAACTAGATTAAAGTTAGCTTTCGTATGTTGACTCACAGTGCAGTCACAGGTTTGCAGCAACCTGTGCTTGCAGTCTAGGTGTACCCTTAGTCGTATGACATCTTCCTACATTATGGACTTGCCGTAAAACTGATGAAACCAGAACAGTGTGGTATCTACACTGTGAAAGGATTTTTGGAGACTTTTAGGGAAATCGCTTTACTACCACACATGCTATTTAGTCTTTATATACAGCCATGCTTTTGTTACTATTTTGTGACACACTGTCCTGATCCATTTCTAAGAAACACGGATTAGAGGTATCCAGACTAAGGATGTTAAGAACTAGTCAACTAGTCGACAGTCTGATAAGCAAATGCTTATCGGATAGTCAAGTCGACTAGTCAGTTCCCCCCTCTTGCTGCCTGTATCAGATAGAGGCAGCAAAGGTGGGGGGAAAGGGGTAATTCAAAGCGGCAGCACCACATGAAGCCTGTACCCCAGGTCCGTGCAGCGTTGCCACTTTGAAATGCTGTGGCGGAGACTCTCTAGCTGGGGACTTCCTAACTGACCCCGGGCTCCCTGTGGCATTTCTGCAGAACCCGGAGTCAGCTGGGAAGTCCCCAACTGATCCTGGACTCTATGCGGCTGCTGCTTTGAAATACCCATCAGAGCCCGGAATCAACTGGGGAGTTCCCAGCTGACCCCAGCTCCGCATCTCATTTCAAAGTTGCTGCACCGCATGAAGCCCGGGGTCAACAGGGGATTCTTGAGTCCCCTGCTAATCCTAGTCTCCATGTGGGCTCTTCTGCTTTGAAATGCACAAGAGCCCCTGGGCTCTTGCACATTTCAAAACGGAAGCATCCTTGTGGAGCCCAGAGTCAGTGGGACTTCCTCCTGGCCCTGGGCTACACACATAGTTCCAATTTTGAAATGCACAAGAGCCCCAGCGTCCCCCACTGACCCTGGGTTCCATGTGGCGCTGCCACTTTGAAATGCCACGTGGAGGGGGGGTCAGCTGGGGACTCCCCAGCTGATCTCAGGCTCTGATCAGCATTTCAAAGTGGCAGCCGCGTGAAGCCCAGGATCAGCTGGAGACTCCCCAGCTGACTCCAGGTTCTGCAGAAATGCCCCAGGGAGCCCGGGGATAGCTAGAGAGTCCCCAGCTAGGAAGTCTCCTCCATGGCATTTCAAAGTGGCAGTGCCACACGGAGCTGAGGTACGGGCTCCATGCGGTATTGCTGCTTTGAAGTATCCCCTCTTCCCCACCACTTTACTACCTCTATCTGAGGTGTCGCAAGGATCATGGAGCCAGGAGGGTCCCACACTCCCTGCAGAGCTTCTGCTTTTGAACTGTAGGAAGAGCCATGCAGGGCTTTTGCTGTAGTTCAAAGGCGGAGGCGCTCTTGTAGATTAATCAAATAGTTGATGGATATCCCATCGACTATTTGAATAGTTAATTAATCTAAATTTAACATTCCTAATATTGTCAGTCATATTTCTGTCTCTATGCTAATTGTGCAGTCTAAGTGCATTTTATCATTGCATTCTGGAAAACAGAATCCAAGCAGCCATTCCATAGTGCTTTAACAAAGAGTAGGGTTGAAGGATTTAACCACAGAACAACATTATCAATTTGTTAGGAAAAATGAGAGAGATAAGGTGGGTGGGTTGGTATCTTTCCTTGGGCCACCTTTTGTTGGGGAAAGAGATAAGCTTTCAAGTTTACATGGAGTTGTGTTCGCTCAAAAGCTTGCAACTTTCACCAACAGATGGTCCAATAAAAGACATTACCTCACGTACTTTGTCTCTCTAAGATTCTGGGACAAACATAGCTACAACACTGCAAATAACCAGGGAAAATCTCACTGAATCCACTGGTAGATATTACTTTATCTACTATATTTCTAGTTATTAGAAATGGATTTTATATATGGAGATAGAAATATACCGAATTAACCAAAATTAAAATGAGATAAAGGAACACCACAAATAATATAATACTATATCAACTATATTTTCATTGTCTCAGAGTGGTCTCCATGTTAGTCTGTATCTTTAAAAACAAATAGTCCTGTAGCACTCTAGAGACTAACAAAAATATATATAGTATAGTATTTTATAGTATTTCTAATCACAGAAACTAAATGGTAGTGCAATGTTTTTCTATTTTTAGAATATGTTGTATTTGTATTTTGTATATTTAGAATATATTTATCTCTGTCTATAAACTAATTTATAACTGTCTTTAATACAAAACCTGTTTACCTGTGGTAAAAATAAAAAACAAATTTGAAGAGGAAATTCCTTATAAAGAAACAATTTTTAAACTCTATAAGTCAAACCATAGACTGTACTTTCTATTTCAGTGAATGGAGGCACTTTGATTGTGATTGTGTTACATTTTAAAATTCCTTAATAATATAAAAGAACAGACTGAAATGCTGCTTAAATATACAGCAAAAATTGAGTGTTTTAATGTTAGGTTTCTTGAGTTTCTAAGCACCAAGTGCACAGAACTTGTTGTGGCTTCCAGGACTAATGTCCCTTCTGTAGGAATTCCAGACAGTGGCAGTTTGCTGAAACATGAGTTCAGTTACCAAATATAGAATGAGTGGAGTAAGAATACATACTCACACAGGACAGATGTAATTCACAGGCCACAGTCGCCTCAATGCTTACTGAGGACCAAGTAATCTTAAGTGAATAGTTAAAACAACTTACAGCTTGCTTAAACAAAGAAAGAAAAAGCAACGTTTCCTGAAATTAATTATATGTGAGACTCTTCAAACTGGCCTAACATATATAAGGTCTGTACCTAGTTATTTTTTGTGTGTGAAATCAATTATTTGTTTTCAGGGAATAGTAGTTCAGAGTTTCAAAATCTATCGCAAAATAAGTATTTATTTGTTTTTGAAATCCCATTAGAAATTCCCTTAACTCTGTTACTTGTTTGAACAGACTGTGATTTATTTTTATTTTTTTAATCTATCATTTTTTTGGCACATTCCTTACAAATGTTTAAATGCTTGCATTTTTTCTTATTATTTCTCTTTTCATTACAATGAGGAAGTGATATCTTTAAAAGTATATTCCATGGTACTCTGTACTTTACTGTATAGTCATTTTAATGTTTTAATCTGAAGATTATTCATGTGTTTTCTAAAAATGTGAAAATTATTGCCACTATAATATAATATATTTTAATATTTTATTTTACTATGCTAATGGATAGAGCATCTATGATTTTATATACAACAAGATAAATATCAAATTGTACCATGGAAATAATATGTGCACAATATAGCTTCGGAAAAGTTAAACTTTCAAAATAATACATATGCAAAATTTTATTTTCTATATTGTCTTTAAAACAATAAGTACATTAATAATGATGAATACACTCATTAGATAGAAGTGCAAAGCAGAATTATAAATATTTTGTTATCTAACCAAGAGGTGCTAGAAATGGCATTCAATATTTCTAATTATGATCTTACTTGCTATTTGATAGGGTTAGTGCTATTTTACCTTCATTTAGCTGTGCTTAAAGAAGCAAGTTGTTCTAAAGGAATTTTGGATTCCCTGGATTACAGTGAATTTATATATTACAATATAGGTTAAAAATGTACACAAAAATGTTCAAACTTAGATGCCTAGGGATAGACATGTAAATCCATATTCAGGCACCAAAATAAGTAGCCAGATTTTTCAGAAGTAGTGATAACCTGTAGTTTTCATGGGGTACTCAACACCTGTGAAAATCTAGCTGATTATTTAGATGACTAACTACAGGTATCCTACTTCGAAAATTATGATTTTCAGTTATTTGTAAATCATTGTTTTCATCTAACAATTTATAGAATGATGTAAAGCTCAAATAATTGTAGCATATATTCCAAATGTGTGCATTTTACTAGAAAATAACTAGGGATGTGAAATAACTAGCCAGCATGTAACCATTTGGGTAACGGAGAAGCTCATGCTTATTGATCACCCATTTGAAACAGTCTTATATCCTTAGTGCTTACCAGTTCTGGTTAACTGTTGGGGGCTGGAGAAATCCCAGCCTGTGGTGGTCAGTGGGCTGCTCCAGCCTTGAAGGGGGCCTATCACAGACAGGGACTGCTCTCGTTCAGATCATGCCTTGTCCGCAACAAGACTGGGTGGCCCAGAGGCAAGAGCTGCTCCAGCATCCGGAAAAGTCTCTGTCTACAGGGAGCCCAGACCAGACCCACTGTGGACAGGGGTTGCTCCAGGGAGAGATGGGAGCCTGCAACAGCCCCAGATCCAGTGCAGAGGCTGGGAGCTGGAAGTGGCCCCAGCACAGGGCTGGGGCAGGAGTCCTGTAGGTTGAGGACTGCTCCAGCCAGGCTGGACCATTTCCTAGCCTGGATCCCACTTAGCCGGTTAAACAGTTAAATGTTAAGCTAAACTAACATTTAACTGGTTAACCGATTAATTGGGATCTTATATCCCTAAAACTAACTATTCTCTGTTATGCTGAAAGGCAAAGGATTACACTCTTCCCTAAGACGTAGCTCAGGGTGGGTATGTCTACACTTGCACCCTCTTTCGAGAGAGGAATGCAAATGAAGACAGTCAAAATTGCAAATGAAGCTTGGATTTAAATATCCCGTGCTTAATTTGCATATTTGTGTTATGACACTATTTCGAAATAGCGCTATTTTGAAATAATAGACGATGTTAAGACGCGGTTATTTCAAGAGAGAACCCTTCTCTCGAAATAACTCTTATTCCTCATACAATGAGGTTTACCAGTTATTTCAAGAGAAGGGTTTTCTCTCGAAATAACCGTATCTTAACAGCGTCTGTTATTTCGAAATAGCGTTATTTCAAAATAGCACCGTAACGTAAATATGCAAATGAAGCATGGGATATTTAAATCAGGCTTCATTTGCAATTTCAAATGTCTTAATTTGCATCCTTCTCTCGAAAGAGGGTGCAAGTATAGATATACTCAGTATGTCTACACTACAGAGTTTTTCTCTGAAAAAGGCGTTTTTTTCTGGAAAAATACTTCAATTACGTCCACACTGCAATCGCGTTCTTTCAAAAAAAATTGAATTCTATGAGGAAGAAGCCTTTTTCCAAAAGAGCTCTTTTGGAGAAAGGCGTGTGTGGACAGGGAGCAGGGAGTTCTTTCACAAGAAGAGGAAAGAGGAAAAAGCACAGGTGCCCTGATGGCCGTTCCACCCATAGTAATCACAGGTTACATGCGAGATTGCGTCCATTCAGTGTGGACGCTATCTGTCGAAAAAGCAGATCATTTTTTTAGTGTGCTTTGGCAGTTTGGACGCGCTCTTTCGGAAGAAGTTTTTTCAGAAGATCTCTTCCAGAAAAGCTTCTTCCGAAAGAAGCCAGCAGTCTAGACATAGCCTCAGTGATACAACAGAATAGCATAGGGTGAAAGTCAGGACAATTTGGCTTATAATGTTACATTTCACATTGAGATATAAGCTACAATAGGAAGAAGAAAGCAAATCAGATTCAGGTTTTTTTTAATCAGAATCAGATTATGCTTGTGATGCACAGTATGATTTAAAGCAACAAATTATCCACACAAAGTAGCATATTTATTTCATTTAATATGACATTTTTAAAAATTACTAAAAATTGTTCCATACACACAAATTCTCCAAATTTAACTCTTGATTCCCTGGTATTCATGCAGCTGCCTTAACAGCTGAGTCTCTAGATCAGATGATCTGCTGGAGTTCATTTTCTAAAATTGCTAAATTGTAGCTAATTATGTCGTGCATATACTTTTTAAAATTTTGTTGAGACTATATTGCCATGATTGCTAGATTTGTTTCCTGGTAAGTAGGGATAAAGGGAACAAGACAACCTAATTAATGCAGAAAGAACAGATATCTAGAGAGGGATACACTACTCCAAGAATTCAATCAGTCAGTCAAACAGCTAATAAATATCTATTGGGTAAGCCCCAGTGAAGTAACTAGAAGTAATTGGAGCTTGCATGAGTAATGTAAAATACATCCAAGTGCATCTCTCAAGCCAGATAGCTTTGAAGAAATGGAATAGAGCATACTGTGAACATACAGAGGTTTAAACAATTTAGTTTTAAGAAATTAAACTCCCCTGGAAATGAGGCCACATATATGATCCTTATAATCAGGGATATTTAAAATACTGTTATTCAGCTGAATTAATATTCAGCAGAAGCAGTTTATCATTCCATATGTCACTGATGCAACATCCAGGAAATCAAACACGCTTCAACTCATGGAACTTAGTGTATATTATTCTGTTTGGGAATGGATTTTATTACTGTTCCACCTACGAACAAGCAAGGAATGAGATGCTTAAAAATGCTGTGGAAAAACTGAGGGTAGTTAGAGACAATTTTGTCTTTTTACCAAAGCTGAATAAATAAATCACCCTCTGTACATGGTAATTTGATATTCCAGTGATTTAAAAATGATCAGAGTATATTATAATGCTACCAAGGAACATAAATGTTCCATCAGCAGAGAAGGACATGAAAAATTAACAACCAGGAGACAATCATAAACAAAATAATAATAAATTTATATTATTAAACAGAAGTCAGAATGACAGTTCTAATCAAGGGAACACAAGCGACTCCTACTTATTGAGAATCTAATACTAATAATTTGCTTAAATCACTTCACTATCCTGAAGTAATTTGATATTGCAATATGTTATGATTTTGAAAGGAATTTTTTGGGGGAGGAAAGCAGTGCAGGTACATTATGAAATGACCATGAACCTAAACAATAGAATGGGTAAAATTAATAGGAACCAATACATCACTGAAAATAATTTGGAGGTTTTGAGTTTGTGTTACCCAACATGCAGAGGAAATACAAAACAAACTTTTAAAAATTCATAAAAGGACTACATGTAGAGAAGAGGTGGGCAATAATTTTTGATAGGAGCCACTCCAAGAATTTGGTAATTGGTCAAGGGCATGATATTAATGGAGGGGGTGTAGGGTCTGGGATGGAAGTTAGGTACAGGAGAAGATTTGAATATGGGATTGGGGGCAGGAAGGGGTGTGGGGTCTAGGAGGGAGTTTGGTTAAAGGAGAGGGTTGTCACCTGAGACAGGAGATTGGGATATACAGGAGAGGATTTTGACTTGGGGGAAGGGTACTGGAAGGCGTGCAGAGGATTTGGGTTGTGACCTGAGAAAGGGGGTTGGTCACGTGGGAGGGTGTTGTGATCTGGGTCATGAGTTTTGGAGTGTGGGAGGGGATGGGGTGCCAGATGCAGGCTCTGGGCAGGAGGTGCTTACCATAGATGACTCCCAACCAGCAGTCAAACGGTACCCTTGGGCAGGCTCCCTGCGTGCTGTACCCGAACATGCCAGTCAAAATGGCCAGCTGCTGGGGTCATTGTGTGCGTCTCTGCATGGTGCACGTTATGAAGGGAGATGGGCAGCAGGTCTCCACATGCTGCATGCACCTGCAAGCAGTCTGACTATCAGGATCTGTCAGGATTGTGCTGGGAGTGAGGGCAGCCAATGAGATCATGCTGTGCAGAGACACACATACTGGCCCCAGCAGCTTTGAGTGGCATGTGGAGCTGCAGCAGGCAAGGAGCCTGCTCAAAGGTCTCACTGGACCGGAAGACATTGGCAGCTGAGAATACAGTGTCCAATATGTGGCAGGCTGCTGCCGGCCCACAGGGCATATTTTTCCCATCCGTGATGTAGAGGACCCACTTCTGAAACACTTAGGGTATGTCTACACTACAAAGTTAATTCGAACTAACAACCGTTAGTTCGAATTAACTTTGATAGG